CAGCAGCAGAAAGGGCAAGAGAACTAGTGATTGAATAGTAAACGAAAAGCTAAATCAGTTTGTATTCCCGTCCCAGTCTGGTCGTTGATTTGACTCGGGAATAGGTCGCTACAGGGTTATAGACCCAGCAGACGTACGAACTGAAAATATGTCGAGTGGCACCACCCGCAACTTCAACGAGCCTTTCCAAAGGGTCGTACCTGTTGGTTAAGTATTTATAGTTTTATAAGCTCGATTAAGGCTAGTATTCATAGACGCGTACATCCAGTAGCTATTGTTTTCAAGGGAAAAGTTTCTGTTGTTCGTGCTAGTTTAAAATAAAAGCGTTATCTCACAAACGGCCCATTACGTATTCAATAACTGTGACTTCTTTGCCACTAGTTTACTCCTTTCGGCCAATAACGATCGCTGCTTCCGGCCTATATAACAGCTACATGTATTTGCTAGACGCGCTGTACACCCGCATACATAAGTGATTTTCTAGGCGTTCTACAGAGATTCAATATATAACATTCAAAGAGAAGCTACCAGCAGAAGCGTCCAGTGGATTATGGAACGTTATTTTTATGAGTATTTCGTCACCTAACAACGTCTTCTACAAGTAAATCAACAAGCTACCGGATTATGACTCATTTGCTGGCCATGGTAGTGCGCAAATCTATGCCATATGGCCTTTACCCGCAGAAAAGTTCACGATGTTTGAATATTTATCTATTTTGCTTTTTATAAGCATTTCACTTATTCCAAAGTTAATAAATTGGCTCTAAAGAACCTTTCAAATATCAGTATACTGCAAGTGACAGGTATCTTGATAAACACAACTTCCCGAATTTGAATTTTGTTCCCGCCCAGCACTTTGAATAGGACCCATTAGCGGTTCTCAACTCCATGATTGTAAATTAGGTCGAGGTGCTCTGCACAGAACTCCTTTCAGAAGAAATGACTCCAAAAATGCATCTACTTGCGTTTCGGAGTAGTTCTCAGATTCTTAAAAACGATGAATGTTATTTTTTTAACTTTGCTATCCAGACTACTCGGGACACCTGGATGATTGAAGGCCAGTAGCAGTGATTCAAAGTTACCTCCATAAATATATCAACTTGTCGGACTGCCGTTACTCTTCTTGCGGACTCTGAACGCTATACAGCTTTCAAGTTCTAGCCTGGCACATTTTTTTTGGCATAATACCAAATTCTGAACTCGTACGCCTCTAAACCATCTCTACAGAACAGCCAAATTTTAGGCGATCTATATCAGCCTGTTGAAGGCTATTTACTTGGTCGTACAATCTTGATAATTCTTCAAGTAACAAATTGTTATAATAACGAAAATTTTCGAGCAAAGCAGAGAAAACATAATGCAATCTTTGTCGAGACTGTAGGATTTTTCGAAGCACCCGTCATGAAATCGCCCTAAAAAACGATAGGTTTTTTCTTGCAAATTGAGTTCATGACACATGAAAACGTGCATTCTGTATTCTAGAGACGATTTTCACAATCACTAACACTGCAAAACCAGTCTGAAGCATATCATCGCTATAGACAAAACATAAGTCAGCCTAAGCCGACTACCAAAGAGGATACAGGCGAAAGATAGCGTCGAATACAAAAGAACGCGATCTTGGTGGCAGTACCGATCAGCTTCGGGCTTTAGTGGACCCGCAATGGATATCAGAGACATTAGCTATTACCAAATATTTTTCAAAAAAATAATCTGTCAATGTTGTCAGATCCTGAAGAGCCTCGTAGATGTATAGCGCGGCAATTACCAGCACATAGCGTGCTTTTTTCATGGCAACGTGCGGTCCCCGCACGACACTGTCATTATTGCCTAGATCGCGAAAAAAGTAAATTAAACAATGGTTTAGCTCCCACATATATATATATATATATATATATATATATATTTTTTTTTTTTTTCTTCAGCCATTCGCATTTATCTGGCCAGTTTTCTTTCTCATTTTGAGAAGAATACATAACTATTAGATATGAAGCTTAAAATCTTTAGGCATTTTTTCTCGTTTTCCAACGCAATCGAGTATAAAACGCTTTTTATATAAAACACCCATTCACGGTCATGCCAAGACAGCCTATTCTGTGGGTTAATAATAATCAACAACTCCACGTGTAATCACAGTTCAACAAGGTAGCATTAACACTTTGCTCATATGGAGACTTACTTACGGAGCCCATCTAGAAAAATAATTGAAGCTATTTCATCGAGCAGTGATGGAGTACTTCGACGAACTTTGTCCTTAGCAGACAAAGAGGATCTGGCTTCCACCCAAGCACTGCTTCTCTGTCGAGAAATTAGGCCAAATACAGAACTCATCATTCTTCTTCTTTCCACGTTCGCATTTTAGGCTATTCAACAGACTATATGTACCGTGTCGAGGTTCTATCGAAGCAGATGAACGCCTAACTTGTACCGACAGCCGTCGCATTCTGCCACTCTGCTGGTTGCTTATGCTACTGACCTTTGCTAAACGTCCAACTGCAATGGCCCGCCGAACTAATATAATAAACCAACTAGGCAGCAGAATTACCGGGGTCCAAGTATCAGGTCCAGCACTACTACATACTACAAACGCAGACGTATGGGGTAACGATGTATAAACTGATGCTTTCTAGTTAGTATAACTAGAAGCAACATTTAAATAGCTATCTTCTAGAAGAAAGTCAGCGGCACCAAGGTTCCTCAGAAGTATCGCTACTAAACGCTTAAAGGACAAATAATACCGGTTCTTTATGATGTAGAAAATGCAATTATAACATTTCCGTACGCGCCTCGTTTTGTCGAGACAAACGTTTGGATCACGATAAAATCCTGCGTTCTGCTTTTGCGTATATAAAGTATACCGGGCCTGAAGGATAACGTGCAGCGTAAAAGGGAAATGATAACGCTAAGTACTCTTAACAGAACGCCTGTCGACAACGAACCAAAGAATCGCCTTGGCGTATACGATCTCTGCGCTACCAACGGAACGCAGTCAAGCTGATAAGTTGCAAATGAGCAAGCAGAAAAAGCTGTATGTCGAGCGTCACTATCAGTAACGCTCAATTTCGACGCCGGTGGCCTTCGTGAGGGCTACCAATCATAACTCACTGAGGGGCAGCCTGACCGTTGGCAGAAAGAGCGCTGCCAGCGGTCGTAAGGCATAGAAGAGCATTTAAATACAGACAGACATTTTCATCAATCAGCATTAGTAATTTTAGAGAGCTTTTTGTTTGTTGGCGTGTAGACCCATAGTCCCATGAATGGGTCAATAACTGCTACAGTGTAGTTTTTTTCACAGATGTTACCCGCGCTTCTTTGAATATTTATAAGGTGACTGGCGTCAGCAATGAGCCTGTTCCTATACGAGGGCTTTCGTTTGCATCATGCACTCGTTCACATGTGTGCGATTTCGCTCTTGCTCTGACGTCGCGTCGCACACAAGCCCAAAGGAGTTTTTTTTAACACTCTCTACCAAGCGTTTACTGGATACAGGAATACCAAATCGAAACGCCAGGAAGCGTGGAATGCAATCTTCTATAGGCATGACATCGTCATATGGATGGGAGTATCTATGAAGATATATGGGGCAAGTTTCGTAGTTAGTCAGTACATCTAAAGTATGGCCTTTAAGCTCAAGAGACCTTTTAAGACTGAGCTTACTTTGGGTTTGATAAGCCAAGGACATAACTGTCTGCCATTAGCTGCAGGTTCTATTTATCGGTTAGATCTCTCACCCTTTCGCTTTTAACTATGGTCGAAGTTCATAAACACGTATATTGGGCCTATGAGCGAGAAACTAATACATATACGAAGAGTAAAATATATATATATATATATATATATATATATATATATATATATATATATATATGCATAGACTATTAATGTGAATCAAAATACTGCAATATATGCAGGCCTTAAAAAGTAAGTACGTCCTCCTTACATTACATAGTCTATGTTTAACTTATCCATTTAATCCTGGCCATCTACATAGGATGCATTAGTTACAGTATCTAATACGAGACTATCCTTTATATTGGCTAAGTACAAGACTTGTACATGTCTGTAAAAACAAATTGAACAATGAAAAATTTGAATATATTTAGTAGGATTGTGCCTAACTGTCTAATTTCCGGTCCACCGGCTTCCGTGATAAGACTTCGATTGCAGCGGCCCTATTGATTATTTTGGCAAACTATTTTTCCGTTTCTACGAAAATCTCCACCAGGTTCGTGCTATAATTGAGGAAAATATCATAGAAAACGCGGGTCCATGGCACACCATCAGACAAGCTATATGATAAAGAGGGAGGAAATGAGAGACCCTATCAGCGCTTCAAATAACTGCATAAAATACCTAGCTATTTACAATTTGGCATAGCAATCTTCAGTCTTATTAAATTCTTTGGAGATCTCTTGTCTAGTGTATATAGCGATAAATGTCGCTTGTTACTTTTGGATACTGGTGCTTTCGGCTATACATATAAAGAGACTATGCAATCATACCAAACACATTTTTTAGGTCTTCCTCGAACCGGACCTATACGGATGTCCTTTGATTTCACCTTCCAGTGCAGGACAAAGTTGATATTCGATCGCCATCAAACAGTTTATTCTATCAACAAGGCCATAAATTGCGCTACCTAGAAAAATACATAAGCATTTGTGTTACAAGAATAATATTAGATGTACTATGTTGTACTAAATTTATACCTATTATGTCCACTGCTCCTGAGAACGTTGCGCCTTGTTTATTTTTTTTTTTGTCATTATCGAGGTTCTTTCTCCTCCACAAACGTAGCTCTAACCAAGTTACCAACATCAACTTCTGGATTGAACTATCCACATCCATACCATACCTCTATGCTCTGACTGTTACCAATAACACTGAATAGTTATCGAACAGTCTACCTTACTAACTTTCAGTTGAAGTTTGTCGATAGATAAGACTGGCTTTCTCTGCCATACGTGTTGCCTTCCTGGCGGTCGCCGTGATGACGGATGGGCTCACCGAACGTAACTCTTTTAAGTTTATTCTTCTATGGAAACAGCTCTCTGAATATCTAGGTTAAAAGTATCGCCGTCATCCACAATCGTGCTAAAACGTTTAGCAGATCATACAACTTTTACCTTCTTCGCTTTCGTTTCACGCTGAATTGACCACCTATTATTATTATTATTATTATAGAGAAAATTTGACATTTTAAATCTGCAGATCTGAACAACTGAAGACCAATACACATGTATAGATTGACAATTTGCCAGAAGATAACAAACAAACCCTTTTCAGACAACGACAGCGCTCCTCTGAGGCTATCCTGCATTTGATCGGATATTATATTTTATCCGTTTTCAGATCGAAAAAGTCTATGCCGGTTTTGCCCATAAGCCAAGCCAGATATACTTTTACCGGAGTATAATCCGGTGAGTTGTCCGACCTCCACGATACGTGATAGCCTGGAAGAAGAGCAGAGATAGCAGTAGAGTTATGAAAAAAAAATAGAAAACGTGCCATATTATATGTACGACGTCAGCTTTGTATTCGTGCTATTAGACATATATGCACAAGTCCGTCTGTGAATAACGTGCGCAACAGGTAAATGCTCGACGATCTTTTATCGCTTGTGGAGACGCACGCCTATGCACAGAGGTGCTGCACGCGAAAAGAGTGCCGTCGAATTGGGGGCGAGTTGATAGGCTGCAATAGGTTAGAATACATGAGCATATTCGAGGTTCAGTATAATAAACAAACAGGTTATAGAACAGATTCAAATATGTAAATGTCAAAATGCAAAGATTTACCATATACACAAACAGTAGATAGATACATAGATGAATTTAAACTTGGTGACCTATATATTCTTTTGCGTAGCCAAACGAAAATTTTATTGAGAACCCTTTGACGACGACTGGACGGGTAATTCAACGAACTTCGAAGGTCGGATTAGCCGGACATATTGCCAAATCGATGGGCCGCTAAGAACGGATTGCGGCCTTCAGGACAATTAACCGGACGCATAGTGGATCCAATCACGAAACTTCACCACCAACCGAAATTTTGCTTTACAAGCACAAAAAGGTGGGGAGATTCTGCGTTCGACAAACCTGAATCATAAAACGCTGCTTGAGTCAGGCAAATTAGCTCTTAATCTGACCTTACTCTGGCGTTACCACCAGACTAAATATAAATAGACTCCGGTATCTATTATGTATTGAAAACCGCAGCTTATAAACGTATTACCGTTAAGAAGTTTAAGTTCTTCAACGATGGCTGACTCGCGTTTTGGCTACGTAAGTTTGCATACTTATGGAAATCTCATAGATGCTTGATATGCAACTGGCTAGCGCGACTGGAGATCTCTACACACCGTTATTAGCTAAGCACAATCATTTTGTTTGTCCGGCACCCGAACAGATGATCTATGTAAACACTTATGTACGCATTTATTTAGTAGCTGGTTTGCCCGAACTACCTATGCTGTCATGGACGAAAAGAATCGTTTGGAGTTTCGCCCTCCAGCATCATCTCGAAGCGATAGGACTGAGGTGCTAAGAAGAACGTACAACTCAAAGATGATGTACGCCTGTTTGCCTCTGCCTTCACCAATGAGGCTCTAATGATAGCTTGTAGCTTCACTTGTTGCACGCTGTCGGTTATGATCTTAAAAACTATCTATAAACACTCGTTCGAATATGCCTTTATTGTTTGTCTAGCCCCGTAGGCGTAACAACACAGCGCCGACGCGCACAATAGCAAAGAAGGGGCACAGAGCTGAATTTTCGGATTTAGTTCGCGTTTCTTTCGGTTACCTACAAAACTAGTAGCTTGGCTTGTCAGAACCACACCACAGTACAAGAAGCCAGCCTTCCGCAATCTTCCATTGACTGTGTGGAATTTTCGATAGCGTTTTTAGTAGGCCTTTTTGCTTGAACAAGGTAATGATGCCGGTGAGAGCTTCTGCAATTAGGCACTGGATCATCAAAACCATTATAGCTTGACTGCTATCATGAATAGCAGTTGGATAGCGAAAGCAAAAAATTGAAAAAGGCGGGAAATTTTTTCGCTGATTATGACAAAATTGTTTAATAGCTTTCTACTAGCAGCAAATACTATAGAAATATTGATTTTAAGACAAAATAAGAGATGTTTAACTTGCTAGATCGGCTGGCACACAAGGGAGTATGTTCGGGCAAAGCAGCTACGTTCCGATTGCAGCACGGATCGTTTGCTACCTACCTTCGCTATGCGAGCTGAACCAATAGAAGAAATACATGCACTCGTAACTTGTTGAAACGAAGGATAAATGTGTTTAGGGTGATTAGCAAAATTTAAATGAAGCTGGCTGGTTCGTTTACCAGAGGTCTTCAAATGTACACGCATGAAGACCAAGACGCAAACACAACCGTCAAATTTACAATTGCCGGTTCCTTTTTACTCGATTCTATTAGTTTATAGATCGCTGAGCCAGTAGTAAATGCATGCGTTACGCCACGCTATGATCTAGTTCGTTGAATTTGTTGAGCAGTGTTAACCTTTGTAGCGTTAAACTGTTGCAGTTTTTCATTGCGACAGATATATAGATAACTCCGTTAGCAGCCATTGATTGACGCTACGTTCTTTTCACCTGCTTCACGCTTCACAGCATAGGAAGTCAACACTTAATCGAAACTACGACGAGTATAACATAACGGCATTTCATAGTCTATTCAAAACGATCGTTTGCTGGTTCAACTCATACAGTGTCACGAGACGTCATAGATAAAACCGAACAAAATTTCCACGGGCCATGCTCGCTCGAATAGGCAAAAAAAAAACCACGGCATATTCTCAATCTTTCTTCCTTGTTCTGTCCCGTCAACCCGCCAAAGTAAGATTCCATCTGATCTTTTGCAAGGTCGTCATCAACGACGACGACGACAGGCGTACTCGCATGCAACCTGCATACTCTACAAAGCTTTCGTGCAAAGAATTGAATGTTATTTAACCGGTTGAATACCTCGCCAACTTATCTCTGCCTGTAGACTCTTCAATGAAGAACCGTAGAGTCTCGTCTGACTGATCGCGTACCTCAGCAACTAAAAAGAGCACTTGGCTGTTCCCCATTTGACAAATAATATAATTTCAGCTCCGTTCCTAAGACTATTTTGAGAAAAATAGTTCAGTACCCCATTGGTATACGGATCACAACATTAAACTCAAAATGAATTTTTCATCTTATTACAATATCTGATATCCAGTTTCTGTTCGCAGAATCACATAGGTCTGCTTATTTGTACCATAGGAGCTTATTTGCTTCTAATAAATATCAGGCCGCTCAGGTCGCATCGAATAACGCTGCTCCCCCCGCCCCACACTCCCATCTGGGAATTTATTACAACCTTAAAATGTATAATGAAAAAATCGAATTGGATAAATTTTCAATAAAGAAGAGCACCAGGTGAAATAATTGTTTTTATAATGGGTCTTTGATTTCGTACCCTAACAGAAGGTGTGAGCAAGTCTAGATTTGAGATCATTTTCGGATCCATTTTATTTCTGAACATTATGTATAACAGACAAAAAGGCTATTAATAAAGTGTTTATTTTACGTAACTAATGAAACTATGATGATCGTATTACGAGCTATCAGCTACGATCTATAATAGAAGTTATATTAACATTACAAATGTCTGTAGTGATAACGTGTTTGTCCACGACGCTCAGGAGCATGTGGTAGCGTAAGTTCGAAATTGGGCCTTTGCTTCGTGCTTACAACCAACGGCTCGAGATGACGCTCGCGGGAAGAACCGAACGTAAAATTCGAAATATTTACTAGGTTTTTTTTCATTACAGAGTCATGATTACTAGTAAACTAAATACCACAGCCTGAAAACAGAGTTAATTTGTGAAGAACTAAAAGAACCCTGTCACGTGTCGTTAGATAGTTGATCGCCCGATTACATACAGCTAGGATAGAGAAATCTCTCCCGGTAACAATCTCACTGTTAGCCGATGTAGCACGATATCATTTCGATTATGGATCAATTTCCCTGCGTTTGTCGTTGAGTGCGCCAGATCGATGGCACTAGATAGTCTGATAAATGGCGGAACGAAACCTTACGTAAGATCGGCTCGTTTCGCCTGCTTAATTTAATCTAGTGTGAATTCCTGTTTTGCTTCGATTCTTGGCCAAACACGAGCAGTATGGCAGGCGGTCCGAGTGTTTTTCCACCGTTATTCCGTCTCATCTATTTGTATCTTCCGAAAACCATTAACAGATACGTCTATATGTGAAAAATCGTTATCTTTTACTCCGTAATTAGAAAATAGCGACCGCTGGCTTTGATCGCTTTTTCGGGTCCACCGGTAGAAAGGGGCAAAAAAGACGTATGAAATAAGGAATGCTCCTACGGATCACTTCGGTGCGTCCCCCGTAATTTGGCTTTAACAAGCGCTAGCATGGAGAGATAAAACAAGTAGTCGTTCCTTGTGTGCCCCAATAAACTAATTATATGACCTAACTAAACTAATTATATGTACTTATTTCGTTGCCTAGCTCGAGCCGAAAGTGAAAATAACAAATATGTTAGGAGTTAGTGCAGGCATAATTTGGAGTCCTTTAGGTTACGTTCACCTATCGCGTATTTGTGAGTGTGCAGCGACTATGAGGTACGGCGGCCCATGTCACTCAAAATAATAACTCGGCCGTTATTGGGACCAAGACTATTTATAAGGGTTTTGTTACTTGTCAGGCGTGTTCAGGCTTTTTCAGACCTTTAGAGGCCTAGTAATAACGTTGGTCGGCGCAAGCCCTAAGACGGGGCTATGGCAGTGCCCCTGTTGGAGAGAGAGAGAGAGAGAGAGAGAGAGAGAGAGGGAGGGAGGGAGGGAGAGCGCGACAAAGTTCAATAGATGCGTTTCAATGATGGAACCAGTGCCGATGTATAAAAATAGTTCTACGTAATTCCTTCACTTGATCAGTCCTTTGCAACTCTACACGAATGCCAGCTTCCCAGCTGTGCCCTCTTGATCGGTAATTCTTTACCACTTACGGGCCGCAAGGAACTTTATGTTTGAGAACGACTTGTCCTGTTGGCGGCTTAGAAGGCTTGACCTGTGTGACTGTAACAAACCGGGGTCGAGAGACAGCACATCACTAACGGTACACATCTAAAAAGCATACCACTCCTACGGAGAATTTATACAGCCACTATTGAAACCTTCGGTAGCACCTGATGCACATCTCCTAAGGCAAAACGTCATGTGGTGGCCGTTATACAGGGGGGACCGTCTAGGTAGCCCTTCCACCTACCGTACCCTTTGATAAATCCTTATTATTGTTGTTGTTATATATATATATATATTGTTAAACCAATCGAATTATTTGGTAGAACTTAATATCTACAATGTTGTTTGGTTTTATTATGGGAACAAAGCGTGTGCCAGTCCGACTGCCAGAACAGCTCTAGACGACTAGCTAATATGAGTGAATAGAAATGAAGTGCAAGTATTGTTAAGGTAGCTTCAAACAGCTTAACCTCTGAAACCGAGTAGACTAGAGCTCGTTGTGAATAACCTTCCAAAGACTTCACTTTTTTCTTACTCTGAAGTTCAGCTCTAGGAATGAGCCACTTAAATATGGCTTGTCATTCGCAGCTGCGGACCCCTGATAGAGCACATAAACTAGGTTTTCCCTTTGACAGTGGACGATACCATAAATGTCACTACTGTGAAATCAACAACCATTTCTTCTTACCATGGTATGTGAGTAGAGTTCAGCTGAAAGACGTTGAACACAGCCTATTTTGTATTCAAGTTGCGTAAAACTTTGCACTGCAGCCGGTGAGAAATATTTGATGAGACTGCGCCATCTTGTAGATCAGCAGGCTACATACATAAACTTGCTACAGTTTTTAATTGATTTTTCCATCCTTTCACCCAGCAGCCAGAAGAAACGGGTTCGAGTCGCACGGCGGGAGGTCACTTGCAGCTGTCAAGCTTTGATTCCATGAGCTTCATTTGAGTATATCAGGTATATTTTTAAAAACAATAGCTTATATAAATTTTTCGCCCATTAAGCTATTTTTCTAACTATCTGTAAAGTAACCCATTATTCAAACTAATACCAACCCAGTACTAAGAATAGATGATACCGTAAAACTGCTGAAAGCTGAAGTTGAACAAACACTTCCACAAGCCTCAGGTTACATAAAAATCTATACATACCATTCAGGAATTAACCTTCTTCAAAAAATGACAGTATGATGCACCACATTTCATTATTTTTGTCCAAATAGCTAGCCAATGCGTGCGTTGGTGGATGAACTTGCTCTTCCGCTAGGTGCTTCCGACGACACCCATTCAAACCACATATATCTCTTTCATCTTTGCCTAAACGCTACCTATCACGACCTTACGAGTCTCCCAAACGGCTATAGATCGTGCCCTATAGGACATCGCCTTTAACACGGACATCACCGCGTGCTTCGCGCTAATTACGCTCTATGTATCGAAATAAGGAAGGAGAGAAGGTGACAAACGCAGGAATGAAGGATAACGAGCATGGCTTTTAAAAACGCGGCGGGCCATCTCTAAATCAATAGCTATCATCATAGCAGAGACAAAAGCATGCCCCTAGCATAAAGGTATGGCCCACATAACATTCCTATTGGAGTTCGAACGTTAAGGTATGGTTAACCTGTTTAATCTGTGGATCATCCTATCAGTGAAAGGGTTATAGGAAGCTTCTTTTATTGGATGAAGTAAGATATTCGCAGTGTGTATAAGTATCTGAAACGATTTTTTCGAACTGAATATATCAGTAGATTTGAGCTCACAATTGCGTAACATGATTATTTTCAGTTGAATACGAGTCAGTCTTATATATCATATATGATTATCTTAAATGATCATCACTAAACAGACCTTTAGATCTTCATGTCCTTTACCAATTTTCAATCCGATCAAATATTAGATGATATTTGCTATCAACCTTTACCCATAAATATGTAAAACTTAGTTCTAGGCTGGTCTCCCTGTCTCGCTTTGACGACGTACAGGGATCGAACCTGGCAAAAGTCGATGTCAAATGAACCGAGGAAGAAACCAACCATAGGACATAAATGCACCGTAGAGCCGTAACAGTATTTTGATGAATACTAGTTATGCCAGCATAAACGATTTTTAGAACCACAAACGTATTTCTTGCATTCGTTTACTTCTACTATCTAAGACCATATAACTCAGAAAGCAAAAAGAGCCCTCTGTTTACTTCGAATATGTTGTTTCAAGAATAGCTTTTTTTTTTTTTTTTTCTTTTTTCGTTTTGGGTCCTGTAGAAGGCTATGAGGATATTCAAGCAGCCAGCAACAGATGTAGAGTGTCCTTCGTTTGGTTACTGCCTCCCTTTGTTATGGCCTATAGCCACCACAAACGCCTACCAACTCACTAATAGTAAGAGCGCTCCGCACAGCTGCAGGCTTATCGAGCCCGGGGAGACCCTCGTGTTGATCGTATCAACGCAGTGCATTTTGTGGTCGCCAACAAATTTAGCGTCGCTAAACCGTTCCTTTCCCCAAATCTTTCTTACTTTGTTGTCATTCGCTCACTATACACGCAACGTGTTTATGAATGTTTTTTTAAGTTGCCTCTAGTTCGTTTGTTGTTTATAACGTATGGGGGCGTACCATTTGCGATAGTTTTTTTGCGATGCGTCAATCGCCGATGTTCTCCATGCTCGGATTTTTTCGGCAGCTATCGATCGAGGAGAGAGTAAAAGGACCACTAGGAACATGATCGTCACTAATATCGCTAGCGTTTCTGTTTGGGTAGTTAGGCGCGGGCATCTTTGACCACGCTTGTTGATCAGCCTGCTGTAGTGCCGGGTTGTTTCCAGCATATGAGCACCCGTACGTGAACTGGAAGCGTAAGCAACAACTACAGTAACGAACAACTTTATTGTGGTGCGTCCCGATCTAGGCAGGGCTACGGAAAAAAATCGAGTTCTTGTACATTATATTTTAGTCTTTCTTCTACCATACTAATATATGTGAAGGCATACAACATATGATAAATACGTATGATGACATTTGGTGCGAGGCACTTCAAGCACCTCGGTATATATGGAAACATTGGTGGGCGTAAACTTTCCTGTTATTTCTTACTTTTTTTTTTTTTGATAAATAGGGATAACGTCACTCAAAGACACTCAAATCTCGAAGTTTTAAGACCTAACCTTCATACATAAATGCAATGTGCTCCAGTCAATTCAGTGTAAATATAACTCATGTTATATTTCCGTTTCGCGTTGGGCGTCACGAGTAATCCTGGTCACCGTTCATTGCTTATACAGTCTTAGGCAATTTCACCAAGAAACTTGTCCTAATCCTTGTTTCGTTCTAACTTTTTACATGACAACTTTCAGAACCAAACGAATTAGTAATTTTAAGAATTATGATATCTTCTTAATAACAGTTGTTATAATAGTACCAGCTGCATAAATGGATTTCTTTGTAAATGTTCATAGTTATCTTTAGAGCTTGCAGCATAAGAAAATATGTAGCCTATTCATTTTAATGCTACAGATATCAAAATCTTACGGAACCGCCCTCAGAGGCGTTGGAGTATAATGGTACTCATGATCTGTTATCCGGCTAGTATTTCGACCTGACAACAAAAATATATCTGTACTATTGTATACTACTTTTCTACCCCACTTTTATTTTATGACTGGACGTATGGGCATTTTTTTGCATCATTCGTCAGTTAAACGATATAAGGGCCGCGGCCAGAATTCTCTAATACGTACCTATAATTATAGTATTACCTCTTAGGACCTTAGCAATATTTCCTCTATGTACATCCCACTACATCGTTTTCATTATCTACGTACTTCGGTCGATGATAATATCATCTTTCATTTGCCAAATGACGAGCTAGGGCAATTTTCCCAAAGAAAATTGACTTTCCGATGCGCACACATACCAATTCGACGATAAGGTCCAGGAGTAAGAGTTTACTCTTATAGGGCAATTTTTCGTAGGCGTTCTCTGCAGAGTGAAGGCTTTGCATGTTTAGAGCAATGCTTCCAAAGTGCCTCGTCTCATCTGAGGCGACAGAAAAGAGGGGTGATGGCCGCTACTGATCGTCCGTACCGGTACATCGACGCTGTCGCATAGTATTCTACTATTCATTTCCCTACGATATCCTGGTGATAATTTCTCCTTTTGGCCCATTTTCACTATCTAGCCAGCTTATTACACAACAAACTAATGTAGAAAAAGGTACACATTTAATGTTGTTTTGCCACAAGCACGTACTTTACTTTTTTCGCCAGAGGGGGTACGTGCACCTATAAAGACCAGTTTGCCCTTATTTCACCTCTCGTGTTATTCCAGCAGAGAGTGAATCGACTAAAGGGGAGATGAAGTCATCGGTTGGTCTTTAAGAGAGGATCGTGGGGCCATCTGGCGTTGGTCGTAGTGCCCGCAAACATCGACGCTAGTCTGCACTTCTGCCTCTCCCCACCAGTCCCAAGTGAACATTGTCTGCTCACAATGAACACAACCCGTTTCAAGCTCGGTCAGACCCCCAAATGTACCAGCTATGCACGTTCGTCGCAGACACGACCCTCAATTGTGAGGCGAAGTGCCGATTGTACCGCCATTCAAGCTGCAAGGCTACCAATTTACAAACGAGCGAACACTATTGCGTACGCTATTGTACTCAGATGGCGGTAGTACCAGCCGCAAGTGCGGCATCCGCCGAAGCCAACGCGAACGTAACGGTAAGGCCAAGCGTCGCACTTAACCAATTAGGCCGCTAACTCGCTTACCAGGCCAATAAGCTAGCGAGAAAACCAAGCGAGCCTCCACCGAACCAAGCAAACGACAGGCAAAGAACCACCCAGCTGCCGATTTCCCTGATGCCACTTTACCTTCTCTCCAATAACAGGATGCATTTCTTATGCCGTTTTACTTGACCCGCCTACTACGTACCTTTTCTGGACATTCCTGTTACCTCGCCGACCGGCACGCTTCGCCTGCTATGGTGAGGCAGGATCGAATGATGACTTCCTCGTCCGCATCAGTCCACCAAGTTTCTATAATAAGTGCCAGTCGCGGTCCTTACGCCGTAACAACTAGATTGGAGCAAACCATAACGGCACGAGCCACCTGGGTCGATTTGTAGCCTAGCAAGTCGCTGTTTTCTTTTCTTTAACTCTGTCTGACACTGGCATGTGCTTATGAACCCTAAACTGTGGAGCAACCTGAATCCCTAGTATCTTGATCACCTTTCCTGTTTCCGTAGGCTTCCCCTCTTAGAGTCTTACCAATATAATATCCCTCCGGTCATGAGACCGCAATTACTCTCTTTCCCATAACGAGACTCAAGGCCCATCCGTTCTGTTCCTTACGATCGTTCTCTAAGCTTCTGGTTCCTCCTTTTTGAAGCTGAGAAATAATCTATGTAACGCCAGAAGAGCCAAGGCGAAGCGTAACTGTCTTCAGGGCATCCTTAGCTCGACGCATTCACCTGGGAGACCGTCAAACTGCACAAGTAGTGGCACTGCTACAAGTAGGTATGCAAAGCTGCGGACAAAAAGCCTACCGCCTGTTAGCTGCCGAGCTGGTTGTTGCCAGTAGTGAGAAATTGATGTACACTAATTAACACTGATACAACGACTTGAGAGTAAGTTGCTCACGGCTGCTTTTTTCCATAAAGAAGGGATGAAAGGCGGTATATTATCTAGTACGATTAGTAACCATTACGACCACCATTATCACTACTACCACTGCCATTATAATCGTCACAGATGCGCGCAACAACAGAAAAGATTCGATATCTGCACCCCGCAACGGACGATAGTTCATGTTAAACATGACTTAGCCTGATTTACAAAGACATCGTAACAGTCACACTGAAAATACAACGTGGCCTCGTTGTTCACGGGGGTAGCACAAGCTCGCTGTAACCTCATCGTAATTTAGCCTGCGCTGAGAAGCCGGTAGCTTTATTATTCATTGCATAATAACTGTTTATTTTATTTATTTTTATTTATTTATATATTTATTTGCACCACAAACAGCCACTCGATGTGGACCCTCCAAACAAGGAAACTAAAGACTTACGCGAGTCGAGCATTTGAAATCAACTATTATTTGGCTTGGCCACCTAATAATGAAATAGGCTCCACATACGTGGGTAAAATCCTTTGGTGGACCAGTAAAAAGTCTCATGAGAAGCGTCGCCTTGTTGTCCATTAGTACAATACTTCACGTATTGAGTTTCACCTAAAAAGTAGCGTCTCGAGGCGTTTGTTCAGCGCTTACCCGATCCGTTAGTAAATATAAGTTGCTAACCGATAGAACAATTTAGGTTAGGCAACGATATGATAGGGCCTTCCATAGACGGTTCTTGATGTTCTTCTATTCTTTTACTGGGGTAACATAA